AGAAAGAGCACTGAAAGAGACGCAACAAGAAGCTGATGAAATAGAGCCTAATCAGTATTTCTTCTGAGGAATATTTAATTAATTTATTTATTTTTTTCTGATACATTTCTCCTTGGTGAGTACAAATGTAGTTATAAGAAATGTATTTAATTAAACTAAATGTGAATACTGTTATTGGATATTGTAAAGTTAACCAGGAATGTGAGTTAGTAATGTAAAAATGTGTTGAAAATGCTTCATTTTTGCTTCAATACGATCTGTTAGTGTATATAATTATGTTCAAGTTGTTGAAGGGTGTTTTATTTGTGAAGATGTGATAATTTCTCAAAGTGAAATGTGTTTCATGTGGTGCTAGCTTTGCTAACATTGTGCATAGACTCTAGTGTTGTAATTGAGCACATGGCGATTAGCATGTATGTGTTGCGTATATGCAAATAATTGAAGCAGACGCTTTAGTCATTTGAAATGGTTTATTCGAACAAGTTACTGATGATTGTTTTTGGCTTTGTTTTTGCAAGGCCGGGTTTTTTTTTTCTTTTATATTTTTTTGTCTTTGTTGAGAATTGTGATCCTGAATCCTGTCCTTGCTGAATACTCGTATTCCGGTTTGGACTGGCGAGCCATCCCATCATTCCGTGTTTTTCCAAGTTTTGCTACCCGGATTTTCCCTGGATCAAACAATTCTTTTCCTTTCTTCATGGACTGAATTTTTCCACTTTTGATGAACATTGCTATATTTTTTTTATTTTTATTTTTTTAAACTGAACTGGACACTGAGACTTTTGACTTTGCATCTGAAACTTAACTGGACATTGAGACTTTTGACTTTGCATCTGAAACTTAACTGGACATTGAGACTTTAAATTCAAAACTGAAATTTGAAATTGAGAATTTGATCTTGAATCTAAAAATCTCATTTTTTAAACTGAGACACTGATTTTGAGTATTTGAAATTTAATTCCAGAAATGTATTTGTAATTTGGAAACTGAATCTGATCTAGTTAGTAATGTAAAAATGTGTTGAAAATGCTTTATTTTTGCTTCAATACGATCTGTTAGTGTATATAATTATGTTCAAGTTGTTGAAGGGTGTTTTATTTGTGAAGATGTGATAATTTCTCAAAGTGAAATGTGTTTCATGTGGTGCTAGCTTTGCTAACACTGTGCATAGACTCTAGTGTTGTAATTGAGCACATGGCGATTAGCATGTATGTGTTGCGTAAATGCAAATAATTGAAGCAGACGCTTTAGTCATTTGAAATTGTTTATTCGAACAAGTTACTGATGATTGTTTTTGGCTTTGTTTTTGCAAGGCCGGGTTTTTTTTTTCTTTTATATTTTTTTGTCTTTGTTGAGAATTGTGATCCTGAATCCTGTCCTTGCTGAATACTCGTATTCCGGTTTGGACTGGCGAGCCATCCCATCATTTCGTGCCTGGAAACGGAGAAAAAGAGTGAAATTTGTCGATCTGGTAGGACCAAACTATATTTGTTTAGAGTTTTTCCAAGTTTTGCTGCCTGGATTTTCCCTGGATCAAACAATTTTTGTCCTTTCTTCGTGGACTGAATTTTTCCACTTTTGATGAACATTGCTATATTTTTTTTATTTTTTTAAACTTCACTGGACATTGAGACTTTTGACTTTGCATCTGAAACTTAACTGGACATTGAGACTTTTGACTTTGCATCTGAAACTTAACTGGACATTGAGACTTTTGACTTTGCATCTGAAACTTAACTGGACATTGAGACTTTTGACTTTGCATCTGAAACTTAACTGGACATTGAGACTTTGAATTCAAAACTGAAACTTGAAATTGAGAATTTGATCTTGAATCTAAAAATCTCATTTTGAAACGGACATTGATTTTGAGTATTTGAAATTTAATTCCAGAAACTTATTTGTAATTTGGAAACTGAATCTGAACTTTGTTTATTTTTCTTTTCTTTAAATTTTGATATCCTTTTGTTACTTTGGGGTTTTACTATTCAATTTATTTGTTGTTGTAATTGTGTTTTGGTTATTTTTGATCTAATTGCAATTTCAAAAGGGCAGTAATCCAAGTGAAAGGATAATCAATCAAAACAATATACTATTTTTCCAGCAACTGACTATTCTTTGAACTGTGTTATGACTGACCTTTGGAATAGGTAATACTCTTACACTTTTTGCTTACCTTTTGCTCTAGTGAGTCGACACTTGTCTTCTGATTTCTGGTCCAAGCAATCCCACGTAGTTACCGCTGTACCAAAGTTGTGGTCACATAGTAACTTAGTAATTGTGAACCAAGCGCTACTCAGTGCGTGTTACACTCAGTAAGAAACACTTCATGTGCTCAGAACTTGTTACAAAAACACCGAATAGGCATTCTGAAATGTTGAGAAAACTTAAAATACTTTTAACACATGCCGTTGAGTTACAGTCATACATTGTAAGTGGTAAACTTGCCGTCTGGAACACAGAAACCACCTTTTGTCATAATTTAAAAATCCATCTAGGGAAAAAACTCATCTTTTTCTTCAAATGAGAGGTCATGACCTGCTGTCAAGCTTTACTCAAATCCTTCAACTTCTGTAATTAGACACAATGGCCAGCAGTGTTGGGGAAGCTACTCTGAAACTGTAGCTTGACCAGCTACAAGCTACTCATAAATTAAAGTAGTTAAGCTACATTCAAGCTACCCTTCTGAAAAAGTAGCTAGCTACATTACAAGTTACTATCAGAAAGTAGCTAGCTACATTGAAACTACTTTCAATTTTTATTTTTTTTACATTTAACATTACAAATAACTGAATAATTGTTCATGAAGAATTATAATTAAGTTATAAGTAAAATATAATGAAGTTATAAGTAAGATATTTGGGGTTTAAAACAGCATATTGTAATACAATCATGATTTCAAAGAGTAGGGTGAATTCAGGTTGATTGGGACACATTTTCCAAGTCACTTCAATTACAAAGAGTGTCCCAATCATTTATTTTGTAAACTATCCGATACACACAATAATAAAATATGGTTATATAGTTACATTATCTCAAACTGACTGTCAAAGTGCAAAACTGCTACAAATGTAACATCAATGCAAGAACAAAATGTATACAACTTAAACTGGATACGGAGGAGTCGTAAAATAGGCAGGTTAAACTCACAGCACATGCGGTATTTATTTACTGACTGTGAATGGAGCCGCTCTGAGACGTCAATCATCAGCTGTGCCCATGAACTCTGTGCCGCAACCATCCTTTGCCAAATGATAAGCACACTACTATATTGCGATTTTATTTTCTGTTCGATTAGTGTTCATTACAAAACTGTGGGGGG